AGTAACACCACCAACACCAGTAAAACCAGTAACACCACCAACACCAGACACCACCAACACCAGTAACACCACCAACACCAGTAACACCACCAACACCAGTAACACCACTAACACCACTTACACCAGTAACACCACTAAACACCACTAACACCAGTAACACCAGTAACACCAGTAACACCACTTACACCACTTACACCAGTAACACCACTAACACCACTTAAAACACTTACACCAGTAACACCACTTACAACAGTAACACAGTAACACCACTTACACCAGTAACACCACTAACACCACTTACAGCAGTAACACCACTAACACCACTTACAGCAGTAACACCACTTACACCAGTAACACCACTAACACCACTTACACCAGTAACACCACTAACACCAGTAGCACCAGTAGCACTAGTAGCACCAGTGTATGAAGCGTTAAATGTGGAGTATTTATCATTGACTCTGGCCTGCAGGTGCTGATTCTGTTTTAATCACTGAAAGTGCAGCTTTGAGTGAGTCTTCGCTCTGATTCAGGACCTTTAATCTGATGAAGTTCAGTCTGAGCTGGTTTCTAACAGGTGTTGGCTCCGTTTGAGATCAAACCTCTCATGTTGTAAATACACAGAGAACAGATTCTGCAGAACTCCCTGAGGATCTTCATGTTTTTAAGCTTCCTTCAGGCCATGCTAACTGCTAACAGGAGCTGCTAACAGCTGCTGTTGATGGGACGGTCTGACTAGAAAGCTTCCAGCTGATACGCTGACTGACTGTCAGCAGGGGCAGAAACGGGGGGGAGGGGGCATCTGGCTGAAGAGCAGCTGGTCACTCTGATTTATGAAGGTAATAAAAGTCTCTTTCTTCTTCACCTGCTGGTAGAACCATCAGGCCCCGCCCCCCTCACCTGCTCAGGACAGGCAGATGCAGCTTTGAAGCAGGACTTCAAAGTAAAACAAAAGCAAAAAGTCATGATTAAAGAAATAATTCTAATTATTTGTGATGACCGGAGGAGTGCTGAGGACCTCCAGTCAGTGAGTGAGCCCAGCTGGTGCTAGTCTGTTAGCCGTTAGCATGGACTAAATATGAGTCCTGAGGGATTCAGTGACACCAGGTCCTGGAGCCTCACAGACCCAGAACCAGCTCATGGATCAGGTTCAGTACAACATGAAAACCTTTTTATCGTCTTCTGTTTTTATTCGTCGTCTTTCTTCGGTCTGATCACCTTCTAATCATTTCGCTGATCTTTTCTCATCTTTGTAGAATCTGAGCTTTTCAGAATCACAGTTTCTCGGTTTAGCCCTGCAGCTGCTCTGCGGGTCCGACAGGAAGTCTCCACCCTGTGAGGTCAGCGGGACGCCAGAGACTAAACTGCACACACACAGCTAAGTGTTTCCTGTGGCTGCCACCGTTAGAAACTCAAACTTCCTCCGTGTGTTTGAACCAAACGTCTGTCAGAACTGTTATGTTCAGGTGTTGTTATATGTAGATGTGTCTGTATATGTGTGTGTGTGACGTGATCAAAGGTTTTTGTTTACATGTTTGAAGGTTAGAGAGGTTTAAATATTTTCACATGTATTTATATATTTTTACATGTTTATAATCTGCTGTTCATGTGTGTTTACATAGTTTTACATGCGTTTGAGTCATTTCTGTCCACCGTGATGACTACTTTCATATTTCCAGCAGCACCTGAAGGCATCATCACAGCTGTGTGCAGTAAACAACATCTGCACAGCTGCAGCTCAGAGCTCAGTGAATATCGTTATCATATATGATGTACACTAAAGTATTGGGACACCCCTCCGAATCATTGAATTCAGGTGTTCCAGTCACTTCCATGGCCACAGGTGTGTAAAGCTCCTGGGCTGCAGACTGCTTCTACAACCATCTGCGAAAGAATGGGACCTCACTGTGTTTTTCAGGGGCCAACTGAGGGTTTTGGACAATTTCAGGCTTCCAGCTTTGTGGAAACAGTTTGGGGACGGCCCTTTCCTGTTCCAACATGACTGCACACCAGAACACAAAGCAAGGTGAGTCAGGAATTCTGGTCCAGCATCTGTGCCTGACCTTACAAATGTGCCCATGAACACAGTCCTAAACCTCGTGGACAACCTTCCCAGAAGAGCTGAAGCTGTTCTAGCTCCAAAGGGGGGTCGACTCCATGTTAAACGCTACGCATTAAGAACGGGACGTCATTAACCTTCATGTGAATGTAAAGGCAGGCGACCCAAAACTTTTGGTAATATAGTGTATGTTCCAGTTCCTCAGAGGAAGCACTAACTCCGCTGCAGCGCCCCCTCTGGTTAAACAGTGTTACAGCTGTTCTCTGCTGCAGCGCCCCCCTCTGGTTAAACAGTGTTACAGCTGTTCTCTGCTGCAGCGCCCCCCTCTGGTTAAACGGTGTTGCAGCTGTTCTCTCTGCTGCAGCGCCCCCCTCTGGTTAAACAGTGTTACAGCTGTTCTCTCTGCTGCAGCGCCCCCCTCTGGTTAAACAGTGTTACAGCTGTTCTCTCTGCTGCAGCGCCCCCTCTGGTTAAACAGTGTTACAGCTGTTCTCTCTGCTGCAGCGCCCCCCTCTGATTAAACAGTGTTACAGCTGTTCTCTCTGCTGCAGCGCCCCCCTCTGATTAAACGTTGTTACAGCTGTTCTCTCTGCTGCAGCGCCCCCCTCTGGTTAAACAGTGTTACAGCTGTTCTCTCTGCTGCAGCGCCCCCCTCTGGTTAAACAGTGTTACAGCTGTTCTCTCTGCTGCAGCGCCCCCCTCTGATTAAACGGTGTTACAGCTGTTCTCTCTGCTGCAGCGCCCCCCTCTGGTTAAACGGTGTTACAGCTGTTCTCTCTGCTGCAGCGCCCCCCTCTGGTTAAACGGTGTTACAGCTGTTCTCTCTGCTGCAGCGCCCCCCTCTGGTTAAACAGTGTTACAGCTGTTCTCTCTGCTGCAGCGCCCCCCTCTGATTAAACGGTGTTACAGCTGTTCTCTCTGCTGCAGCGCCCCCCTCTGGTTAAACAGTGTTACAGCTGTTCTCTGCTGCAGCGCCCCCCTCTGGTTAAACAGTGTTACAGCTGTTCTCTCTGCTGCAGCGCCCCCCTCTGATTAAACGGTGTTACAGCTGTTCTCTCTGCTGCAGCGCCCCCCTCTGGTTAAACAGTGTTACAGCTGTTCTCTGCTGCAGCGCCCCCCTCTGGTTAAACAGTGTTACAGCTGTTCTCTCCTGCAGCGCCCCCCTCTGGTTAAACAGTGTTACAGCTGTTCTCTGCTGCAGCGCCCCCCTCTGGTTAAACAGTGTTACAGCTGTTCTCTCCTGCAGCGCCCCCCTCTGGTTAAACAGTGTTACAGCTGTTCTCTCTGCTGCAGCGCCCCCCTCTGATTAAACGGTGTTACAGCTGTTCTCTCTGCTGCAGCGCCCCCTCTGGTTAAACGGTGTTACAGCTGTTCTCTCTGCTGCAGCGCCCCCCTCTGATTAAACGGTGTTACAGCTGTTCTCTCTGCTGCAGCGCCCCCTCTGGTTAAACGGTGTTACAGCTGTTCTCTCTGCTGCAGCGCCCCCCTCTGGTTAAACGGTGTTACAGCTGTTCTCTCTGCTGCAGCGCCCCCCTCTGGTTAAACAGTGTTACAGCTGTTCTCTCTGCTGCAGCGCCCCCCTCTGGTTAAACAGTGTTACAGCTGTTCTCTCCTGCAGCGCCCCCCTCTGGTTAAACAGTGTTACAGCTGTTCTCTCCTGCAGCGCCCCCCTCTGGTTAAACAGTGTTACAGCTGTTCTCTCTGCTGCAGCGCCCCCCTCTGATTAAACGTTGTTACAGCTGTTCTCTGCTGCAGCGCCCCCTCTGGTTAAACAGTGTTACAGCTGTTCTCTCCTGCAGCGCCCCCCTCTGGTTAAACAGTGTTACAGCTGTTCTCTCTGCTGCAGCGCCCCCCTCTGGTTAAACAGTGTTACAGCTGTTCTCTCTGCTGCAGCGCCCCCCTCTGGTTAAACGGTGTTACAGCTGTTCTCTCCTGCAGCGCCCCCCTCTGGTTAAACAGTGTTACAGCTGTTCTCTCTGCTGCAGCGCCCCCCTCTGATTAACGTTGTTACAGCTGTTCTCTCCTGCAGCGCCCCCCTCTGGTTAAACAGTGTTACAGCTGTTCTCTCTGCTGCAGCGCCCCCCTCTGGTTAAACGGTGTTACAGCTGTTCTCTCTGCTGCAGCGCCCCCCTCTGGTTAAACAGTGTTACAGCTGTTCTCTCTGCTGCAGCGCCCCCCTCTGGTTAAACAGTGTTACAGCTGTTCTCTCTGCTGCAGCGCCCCCCTCTGATTAAACGGTGTTACAGCTGTTCTCTCTGCTGCAGCGCCCCCCTCTGGTTAAACAGTGTTACAGCTGTTCTCTGCTGCAGCGCCCCCCTCTGGTTAAACAGTGTTACAGCTGTTCTCTCTGCTGCAGCGCCCCCCTCTGATTAAACGGTGTTACAGCTGTTCTCTCTGCTGCAGCGCCCCCCTCTGGTTAAACAGTGTTACAGCTGTTCTCTGCTGCAGCGCCCCCCTCTGGTTAAACAGTGTTACAGCTGTTCTCTCCTGCAGCGCCCCCCTCTGGTTAAACAGTGTTACAGCTGTTCTCTCTGCTGCAGCGCCCCCCTCTGATTAAACGGTGTTACAGCTGTTCTCTCTGCTGCAGCGCCCCCCTCTGGTTAAACGGTGTTACAGCTGTTCTCTCTGCTGCAGCGCCCCCCTCTGGTTAAACAGTGTTACAGCTGTTCTCTCTGCTGCAGCGCCCCCCTCTGGTTAAACAGTGTTACAGCTGTTCTCTCTGCTGCAGCGCCCCCCTCTGATTAAATGGTGTTACAGCTGTTCTCTCTGCTGCAGCGCCCCCCTCTGGTTAAACAGTGTTACAGCTGTTCTCTGCTGCAGCGCCCCCCTCTGGTTAAACAGTGTTACAGCTGTTCTCTCCTGCAGCGCCCCCCTCTGGTTAAACAGTGTTACAGCTGTTCTCTGCTGCAGCGCCCCCTCTGGTAAGATGTTGTATTCTTACCGTGATTTGTTCTGAGGAAGCTGCTGGTCTCGGCGTATCTGGACAGCTGGACCTCATGGCCCATCTGCTGCAGAACCTGCTGGTACAGCTGGACCTCGGTGTCTGAGACCAGGTGTCGACCCATGAGAACCACAGCCCGCCGCCGCCGAGGGGACGGCTGTATCTGAGCGAGATATAGAAAACAACACTGAAATCAAGTCTTCATCATTTAATCTCCTGGTATTGATCCTTCAGGTGGATCAGTTTCACCACCATGTGTTTAGCCTAGCTTAGCACAAAGACTGGAAACCGCGTTATGCTAGGTGCCAATAGCATATCCAACACTCTGTTAGCTGTTTGTAACTTGGTCAGATGGAAATCTAAGTTTGTTTTTAAGTAGGAAGCTCACTGTTTCACATCTTTATCCAATAAATGTGTCAAATACACAAAGTTTTAATTATTTATTTATTATCATTGGATCTTTTTAGCACATTTTCGTTGTTCTGTTCTGGTTCAGTGTCTCAGATCTCCACATGTGGATTCTTTAGTTCCTCTCTGATTGTTTCCATGAGAGGAAACTTCAAAGCTCAATAACAAGCAGAAACCTCCTCAGCAAGTTCCCTTCAAACGGATCCTCTTGCTGCTGGGCTCGCTCAGACCTCCGAGGGTCAACAAACTGAGCCCTCCTCCGTCTGGGAGTAATAACAAGTAATGATGCCAGAAATAATAAATGAGTTTACAGCAGCAGCAGAGGGGGGGCTGAGGCAGAATAACAATGATACTGGAATGAAGGAAAGTGGAGGATTTAACAAAGATATGTGAGGGATTATTGATTCTGTTGAAAAGACAATCGCTGCAGCTGAAATCTGTTAAATATTCTGAACACTTTAAAAACAGCCGCTGAGCTAAAACTAAAAACAGATGCATGAAACCAACAAACGTCTCTGGAAACCTTTCACCATTTATCCCGCGAATAACTCAAATTTGACTTATATAACTTACTTTTACAACTAAAACCCAGAGACTTGTCCAGCTGATCCTGTAGGACCTTAGACATGTTGGAAATAAACAAAGGTCCTCAAAACAAAGTTCATAATATGAAAAACTTTCAACATGATTTAACAAACTTCTTCTTCTATTCATATTAAATGTTCACATTTACATTGTGAGCACCAACACATCGTCACATGTGGACTCTTGGTCAGACCCCTTGGTGACGCTCTTTAATGCCCTGGGTACGTTTTAGGGCTCCACGGTCAAGTTAGCAACAATAAATATGCAACTTCAGCTTAGACTTTCACAATAAAACTAGTGGTTAACGTTGTGAATCGTCCCAGTTTGGTTAGTTTAGGAAAAGATCGAGAAGTGAGCACTTCTCCTTTGCTGAGATAATCCATCCACCTCACAGGTGTGCCTTAGGCTGGCCACAATAAAAGGCCTTAGGCTGGCCACAATAAGGCACACTTGTGCAATCCCCATGCTGTCTGATCAGCATCTTGATATGCCACACTTGTGAGGTGGATGGATTATCTCGGCAAAGGAGAAGTGCTCACTAACACAGATTTTGACAGATTTGTGAACAATATTTGAGAGAAATAGGCCTTTTGTGTACATAGAGAAAGTCTCAGATCTTTGAGTTCAGCTCATGATGAATGGGGGCAAAAACAAAAGGGTTGCCTTTATAATTTTGTTCAGTGTAAAAACATTCAGTGCTGACTTTTTGTTTCACCTGGGAAACAAACACCAGTCTCGTGGTTGAAAGTCCAGTTTCTGGCCCTCCGTCCTCCCCGACCACCTCCTCACTGACAGTTCTGTTAAATATCCTGAACCTGCATTCATTAGTGACGCTACAGGGTTTCCCTCATGCATTACGAAGGCTACTCAGACTACAAAGTGACCCAAATCTGACTTTTCTGCTCTCTTCTGCTGTTTCTAACAGCCTAACACCAACGGGTCTTGACCGTGTGTCCATATGATGATGATCCATATGGTAATGTGTTGAGTGGCTGACGGCAGGCTGCCTTTGCAGCACTAGAGTACTTTTACACTGTGGTGATGGTACTTTTACTGAAGTGAAGTGACTCTGACTGGGCAGCACCGAGGAGGAGGTGGTGGTGATGAAGACGAGGAATGTCTCAGAGCTTCAGCTGCCGGTGAGGACCCTGACCTCGTGTCCTCTGGGTTCATCTGTCCGTTCGGGGGTTTTAGTGTCCACAGATGTAAAGACTCACTGAGCTTTAAGACCGACGCCCAACGTGAAGAGGAATGAAATCTGAACACTTTATTTTACAGCCCAGTTTCTGAAGGAACTTTAGAGAAAGTATTAAATAAAACACTACAAATCATTCAACCCTTTTACATCCTGGTGTCTGACATGTTTGTGATCAGATTATCGACTGACTCCAGTTTAAAAACACGTTTCTGTTCTCATCTGGATTCTTGGATATTCATTCGGTCCAAATGAGCCACCGTAGATCAGAGAGTGAATCAGTTTATATTCAGGTTGAACAGGTTGTCAGATTATAATTCCTGTCCCTCCTGTTGGCAGGTTTTCCATCGATCAATCAGCTGCCAACGAGTCGCTGAGGAGAGAATCCTTCACACTAACGTCCTAAAGCTTTCTGTCCGTGTTAAACTGAGTGTTTATGATCAGCTGGCTTCCTCTTCTGAATCCTTTTAATCAGCTGACATGAAGCTGCAGGCTGACAGAGTGTTACTTCTGTCTCTGTGAGGACCACTTTGTGTTTTCATCTGTTAGAGAGGACGTTTAAAAAGCCTGAGCTTAGAATCAGGTTTGTGTTCAGATTAAATCACAGTGCGGTCTGGTCTCCCTGTGAGCCCTCGTCATTATTAAAAACCCGACCAGGTGAAACAGAGCTTTTAGTTAAATTTATGTTTTTTTGTGGCCTGAAGATTTAAAATCATCCAGAATCTCAGAAGAAATGCAGCAGAAATGAAAGTCTGAAGGAACAAACAGACGTTTGTCTCAGTTTTCTGTCTCAGGTTTATTTTGTAAAGCGAACGGAGGTCAAAGTCACTAAAGGTCCTCACAAGTACACAAGTCCCAACACGTCCCTGTGTGCGTGCAGCTGCTTCAGATAACATGGACTAAATATAAGTCCTGAGGGATTCAGTGACACCAGGTCCTGGAGCCTCAAACACAGACCCAGGACCAACTCATCAGGGTCAGGGCAACATGAAGACATTTTTACTGGCGATCGCGCTCCAATCATTCCAACTACACCTCCCATAATGCTTTGGGAGATGTAAACAGCTGTGTTGTTTTAGCCTGTGTTTGTTTACACTAAGTCAGATGGATTAGCCGTTAGCTGCTCCTGTTGTGAAGGTTCTGCAGGTTCTCTCTGGTTCTGGACGAACATCAGAGACCATGAAGTCCTCGGGGAGCGGACTAATCAGTGTTGTTTCATGTGTGTGAGCTCAGATCTGACCGAGCTGGTGGTCTGATGTAAAAATAAAGTCAGAGTAAGGTTGGGGTGGCTGGCTGGAAACCGGTCTTTCACCCAGGAGACCAGCGTGACTTTACTCGCCGTACATCAGTGACGTAGTTATTTTAACCCAAACCAGGATCTTTGCCCAAACCTAACCAAACTGGGACGATTCACAACGTTAACCACTAGTTTTATTTTGAAAGTTGTTGCATATTTATTCTTGCTAACTTGACCGCAGAGCAAAAACGACGCTAAAGGGCGTTAAAAAGCAACGCCAAAGGGTCTGAATGAGCGTCCATATGTGACTACAGACAAGTCAGGAATGTAGTTTTGGCTCCTGGGAACAGCAACAGAGTGAACCCTCCTGTCACAGAGACCTGATGTTAGTGAGAATGAGAATAAAATAAAAACGGACGACCAGCTGGAAAATAAGAATAAAGATGCAGGCCTTAAGATCAACTTTAAAACAGGTTCAGGTGAAACTGACGCCTGGGTTAGATTCTTTGAGCTGCACAAACTAAACTAAAGGAGAGGACCTGGTTTTGGTCTTTAAGGACCGGAGAAACATGAAACTGGGTCCGTCAGAAGAAGAAGTCTGACGGTCTGTGTTCCTGCAGTTAAACAGACGAAGACGACTTGTCCCTCGTCCTCATGTAGTTCAGATCCAGCCGGTCTGTCTCCTGCTGGTTCAGCATTCAGATCAGCTCTGCAGTCAGTTAACGTCCGTGCTGGTGAAAAGAAGTTGGCAGACTTCCTGTTTTCAGTCTGTTTTCCTTCCTCACATGGAGATAAAACTCAGAGACGAGGAGGACAAACAAGCACTAAAGAGTTGAACTTTGATGACTGGAAGTCCCGCTGGTTTTATCAGTGAATCCATTCTCCTCATTTCTGTCAGAGGAAAGCAGCTGAACGTGAAACATGAGGAGAAATACTTTCTGTCCCATAAAGTACCTCAGTGTGATACTTCAGTACTTGATGTACTGCGTTAGAGTCACCTCAGTAACGGACGTTCACACATCAGGAAGCTGAACTTTGTGTCCACAAACAGAAGCACTAACGAGGTCTCATACCAGACCGATGAACCGAGTCACCGTCATCACCGTCATCACGTGACCCGACACAGATCACATGACCTGACTGAGCCCAGTGGTCTGTGAGCAGCAGATCCAGCTGACGTCCTGAAGACAAACACCGGGTTTGAAAGGAAACGTTGCTCCTCTGACGCCGTCACAGCTCTTATTGGACGCCCTCCGCTCCACTGCTGCAGGAGGTCCCTGGTCTCATGAACTGAAACGTGTCCTGTGGTGTGGCGGTACTGGTTCTGCAGGCCTCAGGGGAAACTGACTGAGGCCCAGTTCCCCAACACATAATATATAAAAAAATATCCCCACAAGTATTTGGATGGAAAAAAACAACAAATAGAAAGAAAAGAAAGAGGGAGGGGGTTTAAATGAAAACAACCGGCAGGCCGCAGGTAAAGGTGGGGCAGGAAACATTTGCCTTGCTTGAGGAGCTGACGGTCCAGAGAGCCCTGTCCTCTTCAGAGAGACTAAAGGGGTCTCAGCAGGTCCCAAAGGACAGAGCCAAGGCCTGACTTTGTCTGAGAAGGTGAGTTCTTAGCCGTACCAGAGAGTTCAGAAAGCTTCAGAGTCCAGGTCTGCAGGTAGGCCCCTCTTCTGTCTTCCAGCATCGGTGTCCTCGCACCCTGATTGGCCCTGAATCCCCCAGCTGTCCTCAATCCTTGCTGAGGACCCAGTCCCCTCACCTGTGCTACAGGTGCTCTGCATGATCCTCTAATCAAGAACCAGAGCAGTGTAGATATTGGGCCGAAATAACGGATGAAGAAATTAAAATAGCAGCAAATCCACATGGACTGATGAGATCTCCTCCAGACCTGGATCAGGGCTTCAGTGAGCTCATGACAGTCTGGTCCACAGACTGTCATGAGCTCACTCACTCATGAGCTTACTTGGGGGTGCACCGATACAGAACGTCCCAGAGGTTCTCAACTGGACCAGGACCCCCCAGGACCCGCTGCACCAGAAGGAAGCCAGGACCCGCTGCACCAGGACCCCCAGGACCCGCTGCACCAGAAGGAAGCCAGGACCCGCTGCACCAGAAGGAAGCCAGGACCCGCTGCACCAGAAGGAAGCCAGGACCCGCTGCACCAGGTGCAGGAGCGATGCCGGTCCTGCTGGATGATGTTGCAGGCAGCGTAACGTTCACCACGGCGTCTCCAGACTCTTCACGTCTGTCACATGTGTTCAGTGTAAAGAGAACGGGAGCCCACGGCAGATCCCACTGGAGGACTTCAAGCCTTCATGCTGGGTTGATGCCCTTCCACAGTCCTGTCCGGCTCTCCCGGTGTCTCCTCCATGCTCTGAGACTACCTGCTGCTGGACTACCTGTGAACCTGAATGTGCTGCAGGTTCCGCTTCATGCTACCAGTAGTGACAAGGACACTATCAGAACCCAGAACTAAAGAACCGTCAGTCGGGGAGGATCAGGAGAGAGCAGCTGTCTGAGGACCCAGCTGCAGAGCCGTCCTCTTTGTGACCTGTTGTTACTTTAATCTGCACCAAAACAGGAGACCCTGATCCGCCATCACTTCCTACCTGGACGGACTGATCTCCCTGAAGTTTAACTGACTTCCTGTTACTCTCAGATCTGTAGCTGAGGACGTCTGTTTTTTCCTGACGGGGATAAGAAGCGGTGTGAGTTTTGTTTGTGAGTAGCTTCAGTGTAAATGTACATTAAATGACTTCATGTTTCACAGCTAAACACAGCAGTATAACTGAAGCCATGAGGGGCCCCGGCCAGGAACGGGGCCCCGAATAGTCCAAAAGCACCTTCAGGACTAGTAAAGAAACCCAACATGCAGCAGCTGAAGCATCAAAGAGTGAAACCAGTTTAACAGCTGATCTGGTTTCAGCCGGTCCCCCTCACCTGTCTGGCCTCGTGTGTCTCCTGGGATGGAGTAGTAGCAGCGGAGGTGAAGCATGTTTTGGGCATCTCCCCCTAAAACCCCGTTAATATGAGCCCAGAATCGTTAGACACAGGGCTGTTCATGTCTGCCTCGTGTCTGTACGTCTCCTCATCAGCTTCAACGGACGAGTTTTTATCGCTGATCAGCTTTGCTAAGCTCAGCTCCTGATGTGGCGGTCTGTGCAGGACTCAGTTAGTACCTGATGCTCTCAACACTGGACAGGTTCCGCGAGGTAGTGATTAAATAAAGCCACCAGTCACTTTCTCTAAACTGAGCCAATGTTAAGTTCCATAGCAGCTGAAGCCTGCTGCAGGGGTCCTCAGGGCGAGGCGGCTTTAAGGTTTTCAGACCTTCTGCAAGCGACCGCAGCTTTCATTGAACAAACGTGACACACACACACACACACACACACACATCTCCCCGAGCACCAGAGTTACATGTTAAATTAGTGAAAATAAACCTCTCACTCTCACGTTCGCCGCAGTCTCTCTTCTTTCTCAGTCCAAACAACAAACAAGATGTTTCCTGCTGCTTCAAACCTGAACAGATGTCAAAGTTTAGCAGGCGTCATAAAATAAACCAAACACAAAGCAGGAGGACCAGACAGAGAGCGCGTCTGTCAGCTGCCAGTTTACACGCACTAATCTGTCGAGAACTGGATCCTCAGCTGATTGATGGCACAAATATTTATATCAGGGACGCTGACGACACTTAAAATGCCCGACACGCATCCAGGACAGGACACCCTGGATCTGACTGGTCCCTCCAGCAGTAAAATAAAACCCTCGGCCACCGAGCCCCTGAAAATCTAAAAATACTGCAACAATGAGCCAGAAGGAGCCTCGAGCCAGCAGGCCCGACTCAGACCTGCTGGACAGAACTCCATTCACAAATCTGCCACTTTAAAGACTCCGAGCTGAGCAAGTCAGGTTACAGTCATCAGACTAGACTTTAAAGGTTTTATAAGGGCAGGGCAACATGGCCCGACACGTCATCTCATCCAGAATCCATCACCGTCGGGACAAATGTCAAATCATTACCGAGTGAAAGTTGAAGAAAGCAGAAGGTTAACTGTGGTTTTAAAGAAACAGTTCCTTTTTTCTCAACATAATTCGTGATTCAAATGAATTAAATCAAACATTTATTGAACGTTTATATTTGTTATTGAGGAAAATTATATGGCAATAATTCTCATTGTTCTATTGGCCCTTTAAAAAGGTGACAGGTGGTTTTAGTTAAATATTGTTTATATTATGCTGAATTTACAAGATATTAGAAAGTATCGTCTTACTCCCAAGCAAATCTTAAAAAGCCTGGATTTTAAATGAAATTTGGTGATTTGCTAGTGAATTAATCCGAAAGTCAGTTTCTTTATTGGGATTAAACTTGTTATTGAAGGATTATAATAAAGAAGCGCACAACCCAGCTCATTTCAAAGTGCTTAAAGGTTTACAGCATTTCTGTTACACAAAGTGTCTGAGCTGAAGAAATGACCTGCGCAGCTTTCATGAGTTACTCTGAGATAAAATATTTCATTTCAAGAAGTGGATCTGCAGGGGAAAGTTTTAACTCTATAATTCTGTCCTTTCTGAATGAAGTTTGGTGATGGAGCAGTTTTCCTCCTGCCCCTCTGTGTCGCCTTCCTCACCTGACCACGACCTGCTGGAAGCTCTGAAGGTTTCCAGGATCTGCTTTTTATACACGGAGCCGTTTGGTCCCGAAGAGAAAGCACATTAAACAAAGCGTCAGCCTGTTGGGGTCACAGCAGGTAAACTCACCTGCAGAGTCTCCAGAGTAGACAGGAACCTCCTGGTCTCCTCCATCAGGACTTCGTCCGACGGCCTCCTGCAGCGGATATCGGCGGCGGGTTGCTGTTGCCCGGACCGGAGCCGGTTCCGGACCACCATCAGCTGGTAGAAGAGACACACCGCCACCCGAGCAGCAGCAGCGGGCCGGAGCAGGACCGGCGGCGCAGGAGCATCCCGGCCTCCCTCAGGAGAAGTCCGGCAGCTGAAGCCAGGACGCACCGCATGAGAGGAGGGGGACCCTTCACATCTTCATCATCTCACCTCTGTGGGCTCCTGGTCAGCTTCGGGAAGTTGTTCTCTTAGATCCTGTTCTGCCGCTGGATGGATTATATTTAGGCCGAATTTGCTAGCGGCTCCACGACAGTCTGGTAAAGTCTTAACGCATGTTGTGAATCCAAAGAACTTTAACCAGCAACGAATCAAATGCTAAAAGGCGCTGATTCTGAAGCGGGACGCGGTTTGTGCAGCGGAGCAGCCGGGACGCGCGGCGCAGGACACAACTTCGCTTCCAAGCAGCAGAACCGCATCTTCTGTCCTCCTCAGGTCCAGATCCTGCGGCTTTAAAGTTTAGAGGAAGAACGAGCACCGTCCGACTCTTCAAAGGCAAATCATTCTCTTATTTATCCAATCATCCAGCTGGTTTGTCTCAATCCAAAGTGCGCAGCACAACTGAAGCCGACGTCCCGTCAGCTGATAAAAAAACCTGGATTAACGGGACCGTCAGAAGAATCCGGTAAAACCTCCAAACAGATCCGTTAAACTGAGCAACAACCGCGCATTTTCTATTTAACGCGAGGCTTAAAACTTGAGGAGAAACGCGTGGAGTTTGGTGGCGTCGCAGAGGAGTTCAAACCAGCCCGTCCGGCGGCGGAGTCTGGCAGAGGAAGCATCTGGTTTGAGTTAAATCCAGCAGGAGTAAACAGGAGCCACAGAAACCAGCCCCTCCTGCACGGGACGACCCGGGACCACAGACCTGGACCCACGAACCCTTCTTCTTCTCTGTTCTTGTCCCACACAGTCAGGATGAAGCAGTTTCTGGAGTCTGGAGAGTAAAATCTGCTGCTGCTCTGTAGGAGGTCAGGACCTCCTCTCCTCCTCCTCCTCTCCTCCTCCTCCTCCTCCTCCTCCTCTCCCCTCCTCCTCCTCCTCCTCCTCCTCCTCCTCCTCCTCCTCCTCCTCCTCTCTCCTCCTCCTCCTCCTCCCCCTGAGCGGAGTTATTTCTGGAAAACACACACACCCTACATATACAGTGCGTGTGTGTGTGCGCGCGTGCGCGCGTGCGGAGGTTCAAGTCAATGAAACGTCGCTCACATTTTTGAAACGTCTTCTTCAGTGGTGCTGAAGTATTCAGAGGCTCCGGCCTACTCACGGAAAAGTACAAATACTTCACTGTTCTATTGTGAAAGTTACTGCAGCGACTGTCGGATTTTATTTATGCTCAAGTATTAAAACTGGAAATGTTACTTCAGTAAAAGTATTACCAGCTAAATGTACTTGGAGTACCAGCAGTAATACACTGATGCATCAACAGGTTTAATGATTATAAATAACAAAACATCACAGTGAAGTACAAGTACTGTGTACTGTTAGTACTGCTCACTGTGTAGTTTCTGTTAGTACTGCTCACTGTGTAGTTTCTGTTAGTACTGCTCACTGTGTAGTTTCTGTTAGTACTGCTCACTGTGTAGTTTGTAATATTACTGTGTACTGTTAGTACTGCTCACTGTGTAGTGTGTAATATTACTGTGTACTGTTAGTACTGCTCACTGTGTAGTTTCTGTTAGTACTGCTCACTGTGTAGTTTCTGTTAGTACTGCTCACTGTGTAGTTTGTAATATTACTGTGTACTGTTAGTACTGCTCACTGTGTAGTGTGTAATATTACTGTGTACTGTTAGTACTGCTCACTGTGTAGTTTGTAATATTACTGTGTACTGTTAGTACTGCTCACTGTGTAGTTTCTGTTAGTACTGCTCACTGTGTAGTTTCTGTTAGTACTGCTCACTGTGTAGTGTGTAATATTACTGTGTACTGTTAGTACTGCTCACTGTGTAGTTTCTGTTAGTACTGCTCACTGTGTAGTTTGTAATATTACTGTGTACTGTTAGTACTGCTCACTGTGTAGTTTCTGTTAGTACTGCTCACTGTGTAGTTTGTAATATTACTGTGTACTGTTAGTACTGCTCACTGTGTAGTTTCTGTTAGTACTGCTCACTGTGTAGTTTCTGTTAGTACTGCTCACTGTGTAGTGTGTAATATTACTGTGTACTGTTAGTACTGCTCACTGTGTAGTTTCTGTTAGTACTGCTCACTGTGTAGTTTGTAATATTACTGTGTACTGTTAGTACTGCTCACTGTGTAGTTTCTGTTAGTACTGCTCACTGTGTAGTGTGTAATATTACTGTGTACTGTTAGTACTGCTCACTGTGTAGTTTCTGTTAGTACTGCTCACTGTGTAGTGTGTAATATTACTGTGTACTGTTAGTACTGCTCACTGTGTAGTTTGTAATATTACTGTGTACTGTTAGTACTGCTCACTGTGTAGTTTCTGTTAGTACTGCTCACTGTGTAGTTTCTGTTAGTACTGCTCACTGTGTAGTGTGTAATATTACTGTGTACTGTTAGTACTGCTCACTGTGTAGTTTCTGTTAGTACTGCTCACTGTGTAGTTTGTAATATTACTGTGTACTGTTAGTACTGCTCACTGTGTAGTTTCTGTTAGTACTGCTCACTGTGTAGTGTGTAATATTACTGTGTACTGTTAGTACTGCTCACTGTGTAGTTTCTGTTAGTACTGCTCACTGTGTAGTGTGTAATATTACTGTGTACTGTTAGTACTGCTCACTGTGTAGTTTGTAATATTACTGTGTACTGTTAGTACTGCTCACTGTGTAGTTTCTGTTAGTACTGCTCACTGTGTAGTTTCTGTTAGTACTGCTCACTGTGTAGTTTCTGTTAGTACTGCTCACTGTGTAGTTTGTAATATTACTGTGTACTGTTAGTACTGCTCACTGTGTAGTTTCTGTTAGTACTGCTCACTGTGTAGTGTGTAATATTACTGTGTACTGTTAGTACTGCTCACTGTGTAGTTTCTGTTAGTACTGCTCACTGTGTAGTGTGTAATATTACTGTGTACTGTTAGTACTGCTCACTGTGTAGTTTCTGTTAGTACTGCTCACTGTGTAGTTTGTAATATTACTGTGTACTGTTAGTACTGCTCACTGTGTAGTTTCTGTTAGTACTGCTCACTGTGTAGTTTGTAATATTACTGTGTACTGTTAGTACTGCTCACTGTGTAGTTTCTGTTAGTACTGCTCACTGTGTAGTTTCTGTTAGTACTGCTCACTGTGTAGTTTGTAATATTACTGTGTACTGTTAGTACTGCTCACTGTGTAGTTTCTGTTAGTACTGCTCACTGTGTAGTGTGTAATATTACTGTGTACTGTTAGTACTGCTCACTGTGTAGTTTCTGTTAGTACTGCTCACTGTGTAGTGTGTAATATTACTGTGTACTGTTAGTACTGCTCACTGTGTAGTTTCTGTTAGTACTGCTCACTGTGTAGTTTGTAATATTACTGTGTACTGTTAGTACTGCTCACTGTGTAGTTTCTGTTAGTACTGCTCACTGTGTAGTTTGTAATATTACTGTGTACTGTTAGTACTGCTCACTGTGTAGTTTCTGTTAGTACTGCTCACTGTGTAGTTTCTGTTAGTACTGCTCACTGTGTAGTTTGTAATATTACTGTGTACTGTTAGTACTGCTCACTGTGTAGTTTCTGTTAGTACTGCTCACTGTGTAGTGTGTAATATTACTGTGTACTGTTAGTACTGCTCACTGTGTAGTTTCTGTTAGTACTGCTCACTGTGTAGTTTGTAATATTACTGTGTACTGTTAGTACTGCTCACTGTGTAGTTTCTGTTAGTACTGCTCACTGTGTAGTTTCTGTTAGTACTGCTCACTGTGTAGTTTGTAATATTACTGTGTACTCTTAGTACTGCTCACTGTGTAGTTTGTAATATTACTGTGTACTGTTAGTACTGCTCACTGTGTAGTTTGTAATATTACTGTGTACTGTTAGTACTGCTCACTGTGTAGTTTGTAATATTACTGTGTACTGTTAGTACTGCTCACTGTGTAGTTTGTAATATTACTGTGTACTGTTAGTACTGCTCACTGTGTAGTTTGTAATATTACTGTGTACTGTTAGTACTGCTTACTGTGTAGTTTCTGTTAGTACTGCTCACTGTGTAGTGTGTAATATTACTGTGTACTGTTAGTACTGCTCACTGTGTAGTTTCTGTTAGTACTGCTCACTGTGTAGTGTGTAATATTACTGTGTACTCTTAGTACTGCTCACTGTGTAGTTTCTGTTAGTACTGCTCACTGTGTAGTTTGTAATATTACTGTGTACTGTTAGTACTGCTCACTGTGTAGTTTCTGTTAGTACTGCTCACTGTGTAGTTTCTGTTAGTACTGCTCACTGTGTAGTTTCTGTTAGTACTGCTCACTGTGTAGTTTGTCATATTACTGTGTACTGTTAGTACTCGCTGTGTAGTATGACTGTGTACTGTTAGTACTCACTGTGTACTGTTAGTACCTGCTGTGTACCGTTAGTCGTCACTGTGTAGTGTGTAGTATGACTGTGTACTGTTAGTACTCACTGTGTACTGTTAGTACCTGCTGTGTACCGTTAGTCGTCACTGTGTAGTGTGTAGTATGACTGTGTACTGTTAGTACTCGCTGTGTACTGTTAGTACTCGCTGTGTACTGTTAGTACTCGCTGTGTAGTGTGAGTACTCGCTGTGTAGTGTGTAGTATGACTGTGTACTGTTAGTACTCGCTGTGTAGTGTTAGTACTCGCTGTGTAGTGTTAGTACTCGCTGTGTAGTGTTAGTACTCGCTGTGTAGTGTGTAGTATGACTGTGTACTGTTAGTACTCGCTGTGTAGTGTGTAGTATGACTGTGTACTGTTAGTACTCGCTGTGTAGTGTTAGTACTCACTGTGTACTGTTAGTACCTGCTGTGTACCGTTAGTCGTCACTGTGTAGTGTGTAGTATGACTGTGTACTGTTAGTACTCGCTGTGTACTGTTAGTACTCGCTGTGTACTGTTAGTACTCGCTGTGTAGTGTGAGTACTCGCTGTGTAGTGTGTAGTATGACTGTGTACTGTTAGTACTCGCTGTGTAGTGTTAGTACTCGCTGTGTAGTGTTAGTACTCGCTGTGTAGTGTTAGTACTCGCTGTGTAGTGTGTAGTATGACTGTGTACTGTTAGTACTCGCTGTGTAGTGTGTAGTATGACTGTGTACTGTTAGTACTCGCTGTGTAGTGTGTAGTATGACTGTGTACTGTTAGTACTCGCTGTGTACTGTTAGTACTCGCTGTGTATTGTTAGTACTCGCTGTGTACTGTTAGTACTCGCTGTGTACTGTTAGTACTCGCTGTGTACTGTTAGTACTCGCTGTGTATTGTTAGTACTCGCTGTGTACTGTTAGTACTCGCTGTGTACTGTTAGTACTCGCTGTGTACTGTTAGTACTCACTGTGTACTGTTAGTACTCACTGTGTACTGTTAGTACTCGCTGTGTAGTGTGTAGTATGACTGTGTACTGTTAGTACTCGCTGTGTACTGTTAGTACTCGCTGTGTAGTGTTAGTACTCACTGTGTACTGTTAGTACTCACTGTGTACTCGTCAGGATGTGGCGTCTGCTCCACAGATCCTCAGCTGTGTCCTTTGAAAGGCTGAACAGGGAGTCAGGAGGTCCTTGAGCTCCAGCAGCTTCTCCTGCTACCTTCACTCAGAGCTGTGAAGGAGCTCGTCAGGCTGCTCCCGTTTCTTTCACATTAACCTCAACGGTCTCAAGTGTTTTTATAAATTAAACCTCGCATATTAGAGTTGATCAAACTTACTGAATTCATCCGGTAAATCTCTGCGTCAAACCGACCTCCGCCTACCATGAGCTCACTGAGAAACTGTAGAGTGCAGCGTGGCGCCCCCGGCGGTCACCGCACAACTCCTCACCCTCAAACTTGTTTCTGAAGGGAATCCACCCGAGAATTCAGAACAGCTCACCTGAAACTGACCCGGGATCAGTCAGAGACGTCAGCTGATCTGCAGCAGTGACGCCAGCTTCAGGTTCTCCCTGCAGCTCAGAGCCCAAGTACCAACACATGAAACCCAACAAGTCAACAGACACCAAAACATCTCGTCTTTTATCCGACTTTTATTGTTTAGACATCGCTGGAAACACACACACAGTAACACACACACAGTAACACACACACACACACACACACACACAGTAACACACACACACACACACACAGTAACACACACACACACACACACACACACAGTAACACACACACACACACACACAGTAACACACACACACACAGTAACACACACACACAGTAACACACACACACAGTAACACACACACACACACACACACACAGTAACACACACACACAGTAACACACACACACACACACACACAGTAACACACACACACAGTAACACACACACACACACACACACACAGTAACACACACACACACACACACACACACAGTAACACACACACACACACACAGTAACACACACACACACACAGTACACACACACACACACACACACACAGTAACACACACACACACACACACACACAGTAACACACACAGTAACACACACACACACAGTAACACACACACAGTAACACACACACACACACAGTAACACACACACACACACACACACAGTAACACACACACACACACACACACAGTAACACACACACAGTAACACACACACACACACACACACACACAGTAACACACACACACACAGTAACACACAGCGACAGGTTTGTGAGTTTGTTCTGAAACATGTGGTCGTTCGCAGCAGGCCCCTCCAGGCTTCTGTAGTTGTAGTCCAAACACCCTGTTTGTAGTCTTTCAGGGGAACCTGGACTCTGAATTATTAAAACGTGTAATTAATGAGTTGGAGGGCCACAAACGATTACATCATCAGGTCTGAACCTCGTCACAGGAGAAACACCAAGAACTAAAGCCTGGATCCGTTACAGAGTCCAGACCTGAAGATCAGACCTGGACCAGAAGAGGCCAGAATCAAACAGAAAAGAGGTCTGAGAACAGAACGAGTTCAGGTCCAGTTTATTTAAAGTCCTCCAGGTACACACAGCCTGACCTCTGACCTGGCCAGGTGAGGTACAGAACAGAATCACACCTGGACACACCGGAACAGGTTCAGAGAGCTTCTCTGGTCCCTCGACTGGAGACCAAACGTTCAGGGCTTCAGCAGGTCCGTCCAGAGGGACCAGGTCCTGATGGATCCGCATCATCAGACCAATCAAGTCTGACTTGTGTTAATAAAGAAAACAAACAGAAACCTGCAGGATTCTTGGAAAGTCCAGAACGTTAGGGGGGCGGCGGTGAAATGGTTTAGTCCCAGAACGCTTCCTGTTGGCACAACGTGTTCCCAGCCTGCCAACCTCTGACCCCGGGCGGCCGACGGTAGCTGTGCTTGATGAGGGCGGGGCGGCCGGACCCTCTATTTGTGGCGGCTGCCTCTGCGCTTCATGGCGGCCGTGCACTGAGGACAGAACCACTTCCCCTTGGGAGCCTCGGTCAGGCCCACGCAGCCGTAGTGGAACCACTCGATGGGACACTGCAGACACAGGACACATGGTCAGAACTCCCGGTCCCGGATCAGAGACTCGAGCGGTCCGATCGCTCGCCACCAATCACTCGCAAATCAATCATACTCACGTCTGTGTTGTCGCAGCCGACCATCTCTCCGTAGGACACCTGCAAAACATCGAGACAACACCTGATCATTACTGGCCAATACAGGACACACGACATCACAGCCACGTCGCTCAGTGATTGGCCAGCTGTCCGTCCCCGTACCTGGTTACAGATGCAGTACCGGGGCTCGTTGGGGTCGTAGGTCCAGTCCACCTGACTGTTGGCCTCGGCCTCCGGCAGCGCTGAGGCCTGCTGGGAAAGTTCCTGAGCCAGCGCAGACGACGAAGAGCAGGAGGACAGGGAGGAAGAGGAGGAGGAGGAGGAGGACTGGTGGTTGGAGGACTTGATGCTGCTTCTGAGAGACAGGAAGAGCAGACGTGTGTTGTGAACATGTGTAACACACCTGGATCTTCTCATCACACACCGACTCCTGGTCTTTATCGCCCCAGGTACCTTCAGGGTCGTGTTTCCACGGCGCCGCGGTCAAGTTAGCAACAATAAACACGCGACGTCCGGTTAGACTTTCAAAATAAAACTAGCGGTTAACGTTGTGTCGTAGCCCGGTGACGCTGTGCGTGCTAACAGCTGCGATCTGTCTCGCAGATCGAGCGAGTCGACGGCGTAGCCTGACACTCCCCAAACATCTAACTACATGTCGCGCAGCTTCCGCCGCAACGTCACCAAAACAAATTAACAGGTCTTACTTGGACTTGCGGCCCCTGGAGTCAGAGGCGGCGGTGGGGGTGAGGGTCTGGGTGAGGGTGGAGGCCAGAGCGGAGGAGGAGTACCGGCGCTGTCCCGGGCCAGGGCGAACTCTCGGCCCAGCTGGAAGTCGTTGTTCTTGATGGCCTCGTAGCTCGCCTTCAGACTGGACGTCCTACGGCCCTCCTTCATCTGAGCACGGGGACAGACACCATCAGCAACGCCAGGTTCATCACCTACAACATGCTGCGCTGAGAACGATGACCACAGTAATGGTCCTGGCATTTGAGTCCCGGAAACACTGACCTGAGCGGTGGCCTGCACGGCCTGAGCGGCGGCCATGGTGATGGCCCCGGCCCCAGCCCCGGGGCCCGCGGGCAGGGAGCTCAGGTTGTAGGAGGCCAGAGGCTGAGAGGAGTTCACGCTGTACACGTTGTTGGTGGCCGAGGTCGTGCTGTTGGTACGGCAGCCTGCACAGGACACAACTCAATGTCAGCTGTACACTCAGGTGAAGGGGGGCAAGCATGTGTGAGCGTGTGTGCTACCTGGTGTGCTACCTGGTGTGCGTGTGTGCTACCTGGTGTGCGTGTGTGCTACCTGGTGTGCTACCTGGTGTGCGTGTGTGCTACCTGGTGTGCTACCTGGTGTGCGTGTGTGCTACCTGGTGTGCTACCTGGTGAGCCTGGTGGGCGTGTGTGCTACCTGGTGTGCTACCTGGTGAGCGTGTGTGCTACCTGGTGTGCTACCTGGTGTGCTACCTGGTGAGCGTGTGTGCTACCTGGTGGGCTACCTGGTGAGCGTGGTGTGCGTGTGTGCTACCTGGTGTGCTACCTGGTGAGCGTGTGTGCTACCTGGTGTGCTACCTGGTGAGCGTGTGTGCTACCTGGTGTGCTACCTGGTGAGCGTGTGTGCTACCTGGTGTGCTACCTGGTGAGCGTGTGTGCTACCTGGTGTGCTACCTGGTGAGCGTGTGTGCTACCTGGTGTGCTACCTGGTGAGCCTGGTGGGCGTGTGTGCTACCTGGTGTGCTACCTGGTGAGCCTGGTGGGCGTGTGTGCTACCTGGTGGGCTACCTGGTGAGCCTGGTGGGCGTGTGGGCTACCTGGTGAGCCTGGTGGGCGTGTGTGCTACCTGGTGGGCTACCTGGTGAGCGTGTGTGCTACCTGGTGGGCTACCTGGTGAGCGTGTGTGCTACCTGGTGGGCTACCTGGTGAGCGTGTGTGCTACCTGGTGGGCTACCTGGTGAGCGTGTGTGCTACCTGGTGGGCTACCTGGTGAGCGTGTGTGCTACCTGGTGGGCTACCTGGTGAGCGTGTGTGCTACCTGGTGGGCTACCTGGTGAGCGTGTGTGCTACCTGGTGGGCTACCTGGTGAGCGTGTGTGCTACCTGGTGAGCGTGTGTGCTACCTGGTGAGCGTGTGTGCTACCTGGTGAGCGTGTGTGCTACCTGGTGAGCGTGTGTGCTACCTGGTGAGCGTGTGTGCTACCTGGTGAGCGTGTGTGCTACCTGGTGGGCTACCTGGTGAGCGTGTGTGCTACCTGGTGGGCTACCTGGTGAGCGTGTGTGCTACCTGGTGAGCCTGGTGGGCGTGTGTGCTACCTGGTGGGCTACCTGGTGAGCGTGTGTGCTACCTGGTGGGCTACCTGGTGAGCGTGTGTGCTACCTGGTGGGCTACCTGGTGAGCGTGTGTGCTACCTGGTGGGCTACCTGGTGAGCGTGTGTGCTACCTGGTGGGCTACCTGGTGAGCCTGGTGGGCGTGTGTGCTACCTGGTGTGCTACCTGGTGAGCGTGTGTGCTACCTGGTGTGCTACCTGGTGTGCTACCTGGTGAGCGTGTGTGCTACCTGGTGGGCTACCTGGTGAGCGTGTGTGCTACCTGGTGGGCTACCTGGTGAGCGTGTGTGCTACCTGGTGGGCTACCTGGTGAGCGTGTGTGCTACCTGGTGGGCTACCTGGTGAGCGTGTGTGCTACCTGGTGAGCGTGTGTGCTACCTGGTGAGCGTGTGTGCTACCTGGTGGGCTACCTGGTGAGCGTGTGTGCTACCTGGTGTGTTCTCCTTGGAGGCGTCCGATGTGAGCGTGGACAGCAGAGCTTCAGACTTGAACTTCTTCTCAGGAACGTGTTCTGTGGTGTGGTGAGTTGGGGCGCTGTACTTCCTCTCTGTCGTGACACAAAGACCACAGACGCTCTGAGTGAAAACATTAAACTGAGAGATGAAGCTCTGCAGAATGTTTACTGTTGAATCAAGCTGTCGGTCTCTGAATGACCTTTGACCCGGCTCTACTGGTCCGACACGCTGCTGGTGACGGGGGGGGGGGGGGATCCAGGACCAGAGTTTGGTATCGTTTGGGTTTTTTACGACTCCGGTGCCAAATAAATCCTTTTAAAACGATACTTTAAACATTAAAGAGATGTTTAAAATAAAGGTTTTAAATTCTTTAACTTGAACATATTAACTGTTTAAGGTGCACGTCAACAGTCTGCAGCAGAGAAGTAGAAAATCTATTTTAACCTGGTCTTCTTAAGCTTCGCTGCTGTATTTAGGCCTGTTTGTGTTCGTATCACCTCCGTCAAAGTTCCAAGCGAGCTGAGGGATACTAAAATGTGATGTGAAAACACAGCAGACTGCTGACTGGTCAGAGAGAATCGTCTCTATTCACTGCATCATCATTACTGCACCAGACAGAGGCCAGCAACAGAAAGTTTTATATTTTACAGTTTTCGTATGGAATTTCATCACTAAATCCACTTCTGAGAAGAGCACAGCCAAAGCGAGGCGAGCTGAGCTGGTGCTGGAAAAGCAGCTTAAGTGGCACCGAAATGACCAGATGAGGTCATATAGGAACCGGTTCCATGTTGGTACCAGGTTTGTGTACCCAACCCTATCCAGGACCGACCCAGCGCCTGAAGAGGAGGCAGTACTTACTCTCGGCTGCCGTGTGAGAGTGGACGTGGTGGTTGTTGACCGGCTGAGACGGACTGTCCATCTCTAAAGATCCTGAGGAGCAGAAGAAGAAGAAGACAGTTAAAGACACTCTGCTTCCTCAGCTCTAAAGGACTCATCAGCGTTCAGGACTGGAACGTGTCTCACGTCTCTCCAGGATCTCCGTGATGCCGGCGTTGTCGGCCTCCAGCTCCATCTTGAACTTGGCCAGTTCCTGGTCCAGTTTACGCAGGTGACGGTCCACCTGAGAACAGAAACCAAACGAACTGAGGACGATACAGGAGAGACGTTTCACCTCCGTCTGACTACATGTAAGACAGACTGAGCCGAGGACACCGGCTCTGACATGGAGGAGGTGTCTGACCGCCCTCTGGTGGACGCTGACGTGAATAACAGGGCAAACCTTCCTTCACTGTGAATAAACTTAGATATAATCACCAACATGACACATTAATAGATATATAATAGTGATCTCTGACAAACTGATGCTCACCAAGTCATAAATCTGATTGGCCAGCTGCACCTTCTCGTCTGCATCTTCCAGAGCTTTGTAATAATCCTGAAACACAGATCTATAATGAACTCTCTGCAGCTTCAGCGCTTCCTCCTCAGAACTGATCGGCGAGTCAGACGCACCTTTTTGATGACCTCCATCTGTTCTTCTCTCCACTCCGGTTTGTTCTTCTTGGCGTTGACGAAGAACTCGATCACCTTCTGCTCCAGCTGATCGGTGGCGTCTGCACAAACACAATCATTATATTATTATTAGCATTTTATATTCAGCTCACTTCAGGTCCAAAACTTCTGTTTAGGTCAGAAACTAAGTCGACTTAAACGGTGATGGACATCCTTGTCCTGGGACCAAACTGTCACAGTGTTTTCACCGAGGCTGGATATAAAGATGGCTGCTGCATCTCCACTTCCTCCCTCTGTACCTAAATATCCTGGAGACGCCCGCCGCCATCTCGAGTCTGAGGTCAGGGTCTAAATCTGCAGAGACGTCCGCCTGTAACTGCGTCTCCACAGCAGCAGGGGAGCTTCGTGCTGTGGAGGTTGGTTGTTAATGAGCTTTTGAACGTGGAACCAAATGATCGGCAGCTCCTTGTTCCTTTACCTGCTCCGTGATGTGACAAAAAATTCATTTCAATATAGAAATTATTTTGTAAATTCAATCAATATCCACCGCCATGACGAATACCATGGTAGAGTGGGTGTGGATTAGCAAACTGACGCTACTAGCTGCCGCAAAGCTAACATGAGGGACCACAACAGCTCCAGACAGGCGATAGATGTCGACTTCAACCTGACCTCACCGCGGTGCAAAGCGCTGTCCCCTCACCAAAATATTACAGTAAAGTGTGGAATTGGCGACACGACCATATAAACAATGGAGCATAATCGTAGACGACAGACGTTTTTCTATCGTCACATGTCCAATCTATGAAAAGGCTATGATGAAGTCTGTGACGCCGTCTGCATCAGGACTGCACGTGCTGATTAGTTCCATAGTTGATCAAGCAGGAAATTATTTCTCGATTAATTTATGAGATGTTGTAAAAGCAGAGAGATCTCGGTTTCTCCAAAGAGTCCAAGTCTTGTTACGTCCGACCGACCGTCTAAAAACCACCGATGTTCAGTTATTAATAATTTCAGCTTTAATGAAAGTCAGCTGTTATTGTTAACATTCATCCTGTTGCTTTATTTAGATTTGTTGCATATTACTGACCACTGTCTGTCCAGGACATTAAAACTCTGCTCTCTAACTGCCACATATTCCTAATTATTCTTATACACTTTGTCAATTTTATAATTTATGTATGTATGTAAGTGCAAATCCACATGTAAATAACGGCAACATTGTTTTGTTTTACACACCCAGATTTATAATTATTCTGTCCACTGTATGTTTATCTCTATGTGCAGCACGAGATGAAATAAATAACATTAAAGTTAACAAACTTATAAAAGTGCACCAGTAGCTCATAGTTACACACATCTTAATATTGCTCCGTTTAGATTTGTTTATTTTATTCTGAACAACGTTTCATTATTATGTCTATTCCTGATTAAGAAAGTGAGCAACTGTGACACAAGAAACCGCCCCGGGAATAAATAACTTGTGATTATTGTGATGGGAGACAGTGATCTGCTAATCTGAAGTACAACAGGACAGAGCAGGAGGAGCTCCGCATGTACGGCAGTAAATAATAAATATGTAAATAATCTAAAACTTCAGTCTGTTGCTAGGTGACGCGGTTAGCCTGCTGTGCTAACTGGGAGCTAATCTAAATAATGTCGCCGTATGTTTCAGAGAGCCGTCAGAAAGCTGTTCGCTGTGTGTCCATGTGGAACCGGGTGCTCGGTACCCGGCGGTTCCGTTACGTACTCTGAACCTGCAGGTCCATCTCCCTCATTTCCGTAAACCTGTCGCGGAGGTCCATGGGAAGCTGCTCGATCACTGCAGGAGAAGAAGAAGACGTTAGCACGGCTAGGCTAACGGCCCGGACGGCTCGGCCCGGATAATAACACACATTCAATACACAAAACGCGCCAAAAACACCTGCAACGCTTTGTTAGAGTCAGACACTCACTCTCGAGATAATCCTCCAGGTACAACATGGCGGAAAATTCGACGTTTTCAGCGTTTTATGAAACGGATCTGATCTTTCAATATGGCGCCGCCAGCCGCTGAGTCGCTCAGAAAAAAATACCCGAAATGCTGAGGTCAGAGACGGTGACGCGGGCGGCTGCCTGGGTTCTGATTGGCGGAAACTCACGCGTGCGTTGTTTGGCGTTGTAGGAACAGACGCCTTATGGGAGTTGTAGTTCAACACGTGATCCGCGCTTTTCTCTTGTAAAAATATCCTCAACTGAGTCCCCGAATGATTTTATTCGATTTATTAACTTATTTTATTGAGCATTTCCACCTTTATGTCAGGATTAAACATTAGTCACCAGCCTATATTGATCATATTTGGTAAATTCACACCATTAATTACACATTTTTGATCTCTTCACTTTTTCTGTATTTATATTTCTATAGTTATTCTAAAGTCTGTGATATACTGCATACTCTAATTAATGTTTTATTGCCGTTGTAAAGCACCTTGTTTGGTTTAAGTGTGCTAGATAAACTGATATTTATGTTTATGTGTTGTTAAGCACACATTTTTATAAATATACCAAGGCAAAGTCCTCATATGTGAAAATGTACCTGGCAATAAACCTGATTCTGATTACATTAAAAAAAAAAAAAAGCTAATTTAAGATTCCGCGGTCTATTCGTCCACAAGTAGCCTCATGCAGTGAAATACCTAACCCAAAGGAGAAAAATGTAAAATGATATAATACTTAGATATTGTATTCTGTCATTTGAGTCTTAAAGTCTACATAACATATAACAGCATGTATCAGCAGGTGAGGAGGCTGAGTACAGAGCTGTGGTGGGGGACTTTGATTGTGACAAAGACTAAGGAGCTGGTTGTGGATCTCAGGAGAGCCAAGGCACCAGTGACCCCTGTTTCCATCCAGGGGATCAGTGTGGACAGTGTGGAGGACTACAAGGACCTGGGAGTGACCAAGAACACTGAAGCCCTCTACAGGAAGGGCCAGAGGAGGCTGAGGTCCTTCAACATCTGCAGGACGATGCTGAGGATGTTTTATGAGTCTGTGCTGTCCTGTTTGCTGTTGCATGCTGGGGCAGCAGGCTGAGGGTAGCGGACGCCAACAGGCTCAACAAACTGATCCAAGGCCAGTGACGCTGTGGAGTGGAGCTGGGCTCTCAGAGAGGAGGATGCTGTCCAAGCTACTTGTCATCCTGAACAATGTCTCCCACCCGCTCCATGACGTGCTGCTCAAACACAGGAGCACTTTCAGTGACAGACTCATCCCCCATAATGCACCACAGAGCGCCACAGGAAGTCCTTCCTGCCTGTGGCCATCAAACTTTATAACTCCTCCCTCAGAGGGTCAAACACTTAGACCCTCAGTTGTTAAACTGGACCTTGTAGTGCAGTACTTCACATCCTGTGCAATATTGCTCCTCTCATTATCACTACTACTTCTTCAGTACTGTTCATCAGTTCTATTAATAGTGTAAAATACTGAGCACATCCACACTCCTTTATTTTATTTTTCTATTATTATTCTATTTCTTAATCGCACTGATCTGCAAGTCAGAAATTGTAATAATGAACTTCCCCTCAGGGATCAAGTATTTCAGATAAACCTTTATTGATCTCCAGCAGGGAAAATGGGTTGTTGCAGCAACACAAGGGCAGAAAATAGAGAAAGTGAAAAGAAATAGGAGATGTAAATAAAGCTCGGGCCTGTAGAGGCTGTGGTCTCATTGCTGGACAGTCTGATGGCACCTGGTGGGGTGAGAGTCATCCAGGATGGGTTTGATCCTGAACTTCACCCTCCTGTCTGTCCAGTTCCAGCCTGACTACAGAGCCGGTCTTCTTTACCAGCTGGTTGAGTCCGCAGGCCTCAGCGGCCCCGGTGCCGGCACCCCAGGGCTCACATAGGCCTAGACAGGTCTGCAGGAGCCTGTTGTACACACTGAAGGATCTGAGCCTCCTGCTCTTCCTGAACAGGGTGTCAGAGTTGTGATACCAGTCCAGTTTTTCTTGAACCTGTATGTCCACCCTCCTCACTCCCTCTCCCTGAATGATAACTGGCACAGGGGCCTCCTGCTCTTCAGCCAACATGGGAACATTTCACAACTAGAATTATTAAATTCCAAACTGAGGAATCAGCATCCTCAGGCTGTTTTATTTTTGTGTGCACATTTACAGAGAGTTTTCTGTTGTTCTTGTATTTCTGCTGAACAGCTTTTAAGAGCACTTTGTTAAATAAAGTTTCTTATTTTTATATTAACTAGGCTCTATCTGAGACTTTTGTTGTGACTCTGAAAGCTCTGATGTGAAAACCCTGCCGCTGTTCTGCTGTTTACACATCCTTTATCTATCTGGCAGATTGTGTCCACATACTTTTGGCCATAAATTGATATATGCACGTTATTAAGCGCCATGTTTCCCTCTGCATGCTGCTGTCCTGCCGGCAGAGGCCTCCATGTGTCCCTGCAGCTTCATCCTCTTCAACACAACAACACTCTCAGCCTGTTGGCCCGCTGACCCCGCGGCTCTGCGGCTGGAGGCGGACACATTCCTCTGTCCTCCCCCAGGACTCACTGACTGCCGGGGGAGGGAGGGAGGCTGCTGCACGCAGTTAATTAGTGAGGAAGAAGAAGAAGCGGCAGGACGGGACGGGACAGCGCACCGCCCCTCCAAACTGCTGCAGGCTCCGGCTACAACCGCAGCCAACCCTCCGGACTCCAGCTCGACAGTTTGGAGTTTTGAGGCTGCTGAAGGAAAGTTTACGCGTCACAGTCTGATTGTAGAGAGGATTTAACGCAGACTGGTGGATCTTTGTTAAGTGTAGTCTAAAGTCTATTTTGAGTAGGCTAGTGTTTTTAAGCTTTGGAGTTTCGGTTTGAAGTTTTTGGGTCACAGAAGAAAAGCAATGCAATCGCGTGGATCCGCGTGAAGTGTTTTTTAACTGATCCGCGCGGTGCGCTAGTGTCAGCACCGAACCCTCCATCACCCCGGCGGGGCTGAGGGAAAGTAAGAAACCACCTGTTGTGAAAGTTTCCTGGAGCCTCTCACGGATAAACACGAGCTGCTAAAACAAGACACCGGACGGAGCCGAGTGGGAGACGCGCAGAGAGCGGAATGCGGTTTTTACGCACGGAGCAGCCGCAGATTCCGAGAAGGGGCTCCTCTCTAATGAGTGATTATCTCCGCACACATCTCTCCGGGCTCTGTGTTGTGTGTTGGCAGTGAAAATGTTGCCATGGTGCCCCGGGCTCAGATGAGCTGGACCCCGGAGTTCCGGTCGGGATGGCTCGGGAGGACGCGGTGAGGTGTCTGCGCTGTCTGCTGTTCGCGCTCAACCTGCTGTTCTGGGTGAGAACTTTGTCTCACTCTGTCAGGGGCTGGAGCTGATTCTGATAGCTTTATTAATCACTAATCGATCATGACAGCAAAAGAGAGCATAATACGAAAACAGCATGTGACTTAATAACGTGCAAAACTAAAACAATCAGGTTAGAACTTCACATCTTTCCACATGCCTGTTTGACATGTGGAAACCTTTTCATATGTAAAAATGTGGCTTTCACGCATTTCACATGTGTGAATTTCACCAATAAACACCTGTGATTTTATTGCATGTGAAGATCAGATATTTATCAAATGTGAATTTACACATTTCACTTTTATCCACATGTGCTTTAACATGCAACGTCTCACATGCCAAATAACTTAACATGTGATAATTGACATGGTAGTTAAGATCACAACCTCACACATTTCATGTTATAATTTCACATTAATGTTTAGAAATATTAACAAAAATATATTAACATGTATTTTCAAATAAGAAACCAAAGACCCCCATTTTAAGTCCATCACCTGCCGATACTTCAGACAGCTCGGATCCTCACATGGGATCACCCAGGTGAAGGTTTCTTTTAAAATAACAGCTTCATGTTTAACAGTTTGCTCAGCTCTGCGCAGCTGATGAAAACTCAACACAGGCTGAAAGTAGCAGCTAACTGTGAGGGCTACTGCTCGGGTCAGATAGTTAGCTGGAACATAAACTGGTGAAGGATTTAACCTCAGCTGCTAAACGGACTCCAAACTGTCTGGAAAGCTAGAAACCTGCACATTTCTCACCTCGACCTTCTTCTTCAGGTCCGAATCAGTTTTCTGTACTGTCTTTCTCTACACGTCTGGGCAAATTACTGAGGAAGCCACAATCAGAGGCAGCACTTTTCATGATGCCATTATGTAGGCCCCTCACAAAGTATTTTACAGTTTTTTAAACTAAAAAATATAAAACATTAGTATTTTGACGCAAAATTTGAAACTATTTTCATCGACCCTATGAAATACAGATTACATAATTCTAATATGTATTTTAAATACATGAGCCACCTTATGGAATTATGTTGTAGCACCATAACTTAAATGCAGTAGTTGAGTAAATGTACTCAGTAACCCTTTCCACTTGTAAAAGTTTGGCTTGAAAGTTAGAGTTTTCAGTGAATACTAAAGTTTCAGTGAAAGTTAGAGTTTGTAGAGAAAGTTAAAGTTTCAGTGAAAGTAGGCCACGTCTGTCTGTGAGAACATGTTTCACATACTGAGATGTTATTTGTAGGCAGCAGAAACTGATCCATGTGTGTTTATATGTTTGTGTCCAGCTGATGTCAGCATGTGTGCTGGGAGTGGCAGCCTGGATCAGAGACCCCCTGAACACCGTCCTGACCCTGACAGCCCACACCAGGTGAGGCTCACACAGACAGACAGAGCTCAGGTAACACAATCAGACCTGATCCTGATGAGGAGCCTCAAGGTCTCAGTCTGCTTCACATAACCAGGTCGTCTGACATCACCCTGCCTCTCTCTCCAGTGTCTGAGTCTCTGTGTTGTTGTCTCGACATCTCACATGTTCAGTCTCTCCTGGAGATGTTCAGTGGTGACCTCATGAAACCTTCGAACCTACTTCCTTACCTCTACGCAGCTGACCAATCACAGCATGACCTGGGTGTGATGTCGGATTGTCTGTTTCAGAAAGTTAGAAGAATGATCATATGTATTTCCCAGCATCAACGAGTCTGTCTCAGCTGCTTGGTATTTATAGTAATCCTTATAAGTCACCTTCATACCTGACTCCAGCATGATAAAGCAAATCTTATTTATCTCATGAAGAAAATAAAGAACATTTTAAAGAGGAAAGTTTAATGAAAGAGTCAAAATGCATGCAGAATATTGTCCTTCTAAGTACTTTTCTAAAGTGCATTTTACAATGAGACTGACATTTTGGCACAGATGACGTAATTACACAGGACATGTGTTAGTGAAGAACAGTGTCCAGGACCTGGATCCTGAGTGAACTGGTCTTTGTGTAAACCCAGTGAGGACTCTGACAGAGCCGAGCTGCTGGATTAACAGCGCTGCAGCAGAGAGATAAATATAGAGACGTCTGGACTGTATTTGTATCTCTGTGTCTGCAGGTTGGAGGAAGCAGCCATCCTCACTTATTCTCCAGCTGTTCATCCTGTCATCATCACTGTGTGCTGCTTCCTCATCATCGTGGCCATGGTGGGATACTGCGGCACGCTCAGATGTAACCTGCTGCTGCTGTCCTGGGTACGTTTTCACCCAGACCGCTTTTTATTAGTGTTTGCATGCAAATGTTGTCACATGCAACATGTTGACTTTACCAGATCCTCCTGGACTCTGCATGAACGCAAATGTACGCTTTACACTCTCATTGAGTTGCGGTTGATGATGAAAACAAATTTGTAATAAACACAATGAACGTTAAAAAGTTAAAATGTACATAAATCTGCAATATTTGCTCTCATGTAGAAGCAGTTACACGTGTTGGATGTTTCGATGTCAATCTGAATCAAACAGGTGGAAAAATGATTTAAAGGATAGTTTCAGTATTTTTAAACCTGGGCTCTGTGTTCCCACATGTTGGTGTTGCAATGACTTGTAGGTACAGAAGGTCCTGAATCGTGCAGTAGATGCTTCGGTCGGCAGCTGCAGCGGCTCCAACATATTCCTTTGTCAAAACAGCATCCACAGAAAGAGCTTCTTTCTGCCGCCGACAGGCTAAGACTGTTTTACCAGGTGTCTGACAACATCATGGAAAGGATCCCTACGAGGGACTCCTGGTGACAGGAAGACGCCTGTGGAAACGAGGGAAAGGGGTTTGTCTCTTCTCTCCAGCAAAATGTTGCAACTGCTGCAGCCGGTTAGTTATTCCAACACCAACATATGTGAAGGTTTAAAAACACAGAAATTTAATCATTCCTGACAAAAGTTTTCGCCACATTTTCCAGCCCAAAGTTGCCACTAGTGTCTCAAAGTCACAGTGTGATTGCGGTCTATCGTAAATGAGGTTGGGGAGTAATCTGATTACTCATGTGATGAACATGAACAGATTTTACAGTCAGCAGGTTCCTGCAGCAGGTACACAACATTACCCGTCGCTTGTGTCTAACCTTAATACAACATGAACTCTGAGCATCAGCTGCAGGACGAGCTGCTGAATCCTCCTCATTAAATCAAGTCAAAAGTCTGAACGGAGGTCAGTCTGTGATCCAGATCACCTCTCTGCTGCTACCTGAGTGGGCGGGGCCAGGTGTCAGGTGTCTGTATTGTCCCACAGAGGAGATAAGACGGTCCCTTCAGCCTGTCTCTGAAAGACGAGACGCTGGGACACAGAGTGCAGCTGCAGTCTGCTGAATGGACTCCCAGAGGGGGTGATGGGAAATCAACACAGACTTCAGGAAGTGCACCCACCCTACCTGAGTCACCCCCGAGACACCTGGGAAACCACATCACAAAGGAAACAACTGCTCCAACTCACCCCGTCCACAGACCAGCTGCTTGTAAGACTGTTCTGAAACCAGCTCAAGTACTGAACGTCTGTTCAGATAAGAATGCAGATTAACATGTGATCAGTTTATAAACTGCACATTGTAGCTGCACTTTGACAATGTTCAGATTCATCTTAAATGAATCAGGAATAAAATTCCAATAATACATATTAATTAATTGGATAACTTCTGCATAATGAGGGATTTTACTTCATACTTTAAGTAGTAGTAGTAGTAGTAACACTGTGGTATCAGTACTTTTACTGAAGTAAAAGATCAGAGTACTTCACCATCCCTTCTGAAACACTGCAGATGGATGATTTATCAGCTGAAGGTAAAACTCCAACGGAAGCTGAAGTCACCTCAGACTCACAGCCAGACGTGGCTCTAACACTTGTAGAGGTGTAATGCAGCTTCCGGATGTTTCTGATGGGTCATTTAGAGACACATGATTCACACAAAGCACGTCATTAATCTGATCTGATCAAACCTGTGATCATCTTCTGTTTCCATGCAGCAGATCTGAGGTCAGATATTTCTGTCTGTTGGGAAACCAGGAAAAGGTCGATTATAAATAGTCATAAAGACACCAAACTCCTCCGACTAAACTTAAGCTCGGCTGCTTCGTCCACACTTCCTGTTTCCACTCAGTACATTTACTGATGAAGATGTTTCTGTTCAGGATCAGCGGGTGTTACAGTGTGTATTACAATGTGTGTTACAGTGTGTTACGGTGTGTTACAGTGTGTTACAGTGTGTTACAGTGTGTGTGTTACAGTGTGTTGCAATGTGTTACGGTGTGTTACAGTGTGTTAGAGTGTGTGTTACAGTGTGTTAGAGTGTGTGTTACAGTGTGTTACGGTGTGTTACAGTGTGTATTACAATGTGTGTTACAGTGTGTTACAGTGTGTGCTACAGTATGTTACAGTGTGTTACGGTGTGTTACAGTGTATGTTACAGTGTGTTACAGTGTGTAATAGTGTGTTTCAATGTGTGTTACACAGTGTTACAGTGTGTTACAGTGTGTGTTACAGTGTGTGTTACAGTGTGTTACAGTGTTACACAGTGTGTTCAATGTGTGTTACACAGTGTTACAGTGTGTTACAGTGTGTTACGGTGTGTTACAGTGTGTTAGAGTGTGTGTTACAGTGTGTTACAGTGTGTGTTACAGTGTGTTACAGTGTGTTACGGTGTGTTACAGTGTGTTACAGTGTGTTAGAGTGTGTGTTACAGTGTGTTAGAGTGTGTGTTACAGTGTGTTACAGTGTGTGTTACAGTGTGTATTACAATGTGTGTTACAGTGTGTTACAGTGTGTGCTACAGTATGTTACAGTGTGTTACGGTGTGTTACAGTGTATGTTACAGTGTGTATTATAATGTGTGTTACAGTGTGTTACAGTGTGTAATAGTGTGTTTCAATGTGTGTTACAGTGTGTTACAGTGTGTGCTACAGTATGTTACAGTGTGTTACGGTGTGTTACAGTGTATGTTACAGTGTGTATTATAATGTGTGTTACAGTGTGTTACAGTGTGTATAACAATGTGTGTTACAGTGTGTAACAGTGTGTTTCAATGTGTATTACACAGTGTTACAGTGTGTTACGGTGTGTTACAGTGTGTTACAGTGTGTGTGTGTTACAGTGTGTTGCAATGTGTTTCAATGCGTGTTACAGTATGTTACAGTGTGTTACGGTGTGTTACAGTTTGTTACAGTGTGTGTGTGTTACAGTGTGTTGCAATGTGTTATAGTGTGTCACAGTGTGTTAGAGTGTGTTACAGTGTGTTGCAGTGTGTGTTACAGTGTGTTACAGTGTGTTACAGTGTGTTACGGTGTGTTACAGTGTGTGTTACAGTGTGTATTATAATGTGTGTTACAGTGTGTTAGTGTGTTACAGTGTGTGTTACAGTGTGTTACAGTGTGTGTTACAGTGTGTTGCAGTGTGTGTTACAGTGTGTTACAGTGTGTATTATAATGTGTGTTACAGTGTGTTACAGTGTGTGTTACAGTGTGTTACAGTGTGTTACAGTGTGTGTTACAGTGTGTGTTACAGTGTGTTGCAGTGTGTGTTACAGTGTGTTACAGTGTGTATTATAATGTGTGTTACAGTGTGTTACAGTGTGTGTTACAGTGTGTAGCAGTGTGTGTTACAGTGTGTTACAGTGTGTGTTACAGTGTGTTGCAGTGTGTTACAGTGTGTTACAGTGTGTGTTACAGTGTGTTGCAGTGTGTGTTACAGTGTGTTACAGTGTGTTACAGTGTGTTGCAGTGTGTGTTACAGTGTGTTACAGTGTGTGTTAGTGTGCGTTACAATGTGTTACAGTGTGTTACAGTGTGTTACAGTGTGTGTTACAGTGTGTTACAGTGTGTATTATAATGTGTGTTACACAGTGTTACAGTGTGTTACTGTGTTACTGTGTGTTACTGTGTTACTGTGTGTTAGAGTGTGTGTTACAGTGTGTTACAGTGTGTGTTACAGTGTGTTACAGTGTGTTACGGTGTGTTACAGTGTGTTACAGTGTGTTAGAGTGTGTGTTACAGTGTGTTACAGTGTGTGTTACAGTGTGTATTACAATGTGTGTTACAGTGTGTTACAGTGTGTGCTACAGTATGTTACAGTGTGTTACGGTGTGTTACAGTGTATGTTACAGTGTGTATTATAATGTGTGTTACAGTGTGTTACAGTGTGTAATAGTGTGTTTCAATGTGTGTTACAGTGTGTTACAGTGTGTGCTACAGTATGTTACAGTGTGTTACGGTGTGTTACAGTGTATGTTACAGTGTGTATTATAATGTGTGTTACAGTGTGTTACAGTGTGTATTACAATGTGTGTTACAGTGTGTAACAGTGTGTTTCAATGTGTATTACACAGTGTTACAGTGTGTTACGTGTGTTACAGTGTGTTACAGTGTGTGTGTGTTACAGTGTGTTGCAATGTGTTTCAATGCGTGTTACAGTATGTTACAGTGTGTTACGGTGTGTTACAGTTTGTTACAGTGTGTGTGTGTTACAGTGTGTTGCAATGTGTTATAGTGTGTCACAGTGTGTTAGAGTGTGTGTTACAGTGTGTTGCAGTGTGTGTTACAGTGTGTTACAGTGTGTTACAGTGTGTTACGGTGTTACAGTGTGTATTATAATGTGTGTTACAGTGTGTTAGTGTGTTACAGTGTGTGTTACAGTGTGTTACAGTGTGTGTTACAGTGTGTTGCAGTGTGTGTTACAGTGTGTTACAGTGTGTATTATAATGTGTGTTACAGTGTGTTACAGTGTGTTACAGTGTGTGTTACAGTGTGTTACAGTGTGTTACAGTGTGTGTTACAGTGTGTGTTACAGTGTGTTGCAGTGTGTGTTACAGTGTGTTACAGTGTGTATTATAATGTGTGTTACAGTGTGTTACAGTGTGTGTTACAGTGTGTAGCAGTGTGTGTTACAGTGTGTTACAGTGTGTGTTACAGTGTGTTGCAGTGTGTTACAGTGTGTTACAGTGTGTGTTACAGTGTGTTGCAGTGTGTGTTACAGTGTGTTACAGTGTGTTACAGTGTGTTGCAGTGTGTGTTACAGTGTGTTACAGTGTGTGTTAGTGTGCGTTACAATGTGTTACAGTGTGTTACAGTGTGTTACAGTGTGTGTTACAGTGTGTTACAGTGTGTATTATAATGTGTGTTACAGTGTGTTACAGTGTGTTTACAGTGTGTTACAGTGTGTGTTAGTGTGCGTTACAATGTGTTACAGTGTGTTACAGTGTGTTACAGTGTGTGTT